AGCTGCTGCACCTCCTCACAGTTTGTGTTGTGTCCTCCTCAGAGCGTCAGCAGCTGCTGCACCTCCTCACAGTTTGTGTTGTGTCCTCCTCAGAGCGTCAGCAGCTGCTGCACCTCCTCACAGTTTGTGTTGTGTCCTCCTCAGAGCGTCAGCAGCTGCTGCACCTCCTCACAGTTTGTGTTGTGTCCTCCTCAGAGCGTCAGCAGCTGCTGCACCTCCTCACAGTTTGTGTTGTGTCCTCCTCAGAGCGTCAGCAGCTGCTGCACCTCCTCACAGTTTGTGTTGTGTCCTCCTCAGCTGTACACCAAGCTGCAGTGCATCAAGGCTGAGATGAAGGACGTGAACGAGGAGCACGTGAGGAGCCGACAGGAGCTGGAGCAGACTCAGAACGAGCTGACCAGAGAGCTAAAGTTCAAGTAGGTCCAGTCCTGGAGTAACACAACCATCTGAAATCTGATGCACAACTACACAAATATATATGGTTTTTACCATTTCTCTGTAAAAAATAAAACTTGTGTTTTAGTTTTCAACACAATGAAAAATKTTCTGTTACTTTATCAAGTAAAACTGTTTGTTTGTGTAAAAAACTTGTTAAAACAAGAAAAACAAAATCTAACCTGAACTGACCACGACGAAAAGATAGCTAAAAGTAGCAAAAGGCTAGCTAAATGCTACTCCATCCATCCATCCATCCATCCATCCATCCATCCAGATGGATGGATGGATGGATGGATGGATGGATGGATGGATGGATGGAAAAATAACTAGACAGAAAAAGTAACTAAATACTAGCTTGAAATGACAAAAGGCAAGCTAAATCTAAAAGTAGGAAAAGGCTAACCCAAARCTAAAAGTAGCAAAGGATAACTAGAGGCTTTAAGTAGAAAACAGCTAGTTAAAAGCTGAATACCAAAAAAATATAACAAAGCTAAACATATCAAAATAACCTAAATATGTATGAAAGTGGGAAAATGCTAACTAAAAGCTAAAAGTAGTTAAACACTTACTAAAAGCTAAAAGTAGTTAAACACTTACTAAAAGCTAAAAGTAGCAAAAGGATAACTAAAGGCTAAAAGTAGCAAACAGTTTGTTAAAAGCTAAATAAAGTCTAACTTAAAGCTACACACATCAAAATGATAACCCAAAGGTAAATGTGAGTAGGAAAATGCTAATTTAAAGTTAAAAGTAGCTAAAACCTCCCTAAAAGCTAATGGCAGAAAAAGGATAGCTAGAGGATAAAAGTATCAAAAAGCTAACTAAAGCTAAAAGTAGTAAAATGTTTGCTGAAAGTTAAAAAGGACAAACTTTAAGCTAAAAGTTCAGATAGGCTAACTAATAGCTAAAAGTGGCAGCACGATGGTTCAGTGGTTAGCACCGACGCCTCACAGTAAGAAGGTCCTGGGTTTGATCCCCGCTTCAGACCTGGGGTCTTTGTGTTTACATGTTCTCCTCGTGTTGGTGTGGGTTTTCTCTGGGTACTCTGGTTCCCCCCGACAACACAACAACATTACAACCGGTGGTCTTCAGGCCTCAGCTGAAAAAGGTCTGAGATCTGAGCAGGACATGTCTGGTTAAATAACGGTAAATAAAATAAATAATAATAAATAAAAGTGCCAAAAGATTAACTAAAAACTAAAAGTAGTCAAAGTTTATCAGAAAGCATCATAAGAAGACAAAAATACCTTTTTAACCATTTGTTGAAGCAGATTTAAACAAAAACAACATTTAAAGTGGAGCTGAAGACGTCTGAATGAAGATTATTAGTTAATGTTATTATTTCGGCTGCTTCTCTCTGTGGTTTATTTTTTATCTTTTTAATCTGAGAGCGTTTCATGTTTCAGCCTCTCCAGCCTGTCCATGATGAATGAAAGGCTTTAGAGTGTAACATGAAGCCTTCACCTCTCTGTGTGTGTGTGTGTGTGTGTGCACACCTGTGATCACAGGTATCTGATCATAGAGAACTTCATCCCTCCGGAGGAGAAGAATAAGATCATGAACAGGCTGATGTTTGACCCTGAGGAGGATCAGTGGAAGTTCAAACCTTTGGTTCCTGCAGAAAGGTCAGGAACACTTCCAGGTTGTTTTTATTCTCATTTGAGCTGCAGGACAGAAATAATTGACTCTGTGCTTCTTTCAAAGCACATCAGAAACTCAGCTTCTGTTACCTTGTAAACAAACAACAACAGATTTTAAAATGGTTYGTCTCGTTGTTCCTGCAGTAAATCCTCACAGATGAAGAAACGACCGGCATCAGCAGTTGGTTACAAACGACCCATCAGTCAGTACGCCAGGATTGCCATAGCCATGGGACCTCATTCCAGATACAGGGTAAGTGTGTGTAGTTGTGTTGTAAAAACTGGTCACAGCAGGGCACAGACAACGTTGTGTTTCCTGAGAGTAACACTGACTCACTTAGAGGAAACACAACAGGAAGTAATCAGATGGTTTCTATCAGGCAGGAACAAACCCAAAGGGAAGAGGACACAAGGAGGCACAACACACAACACACAACACACAACAACAGGAATCACACAACACACAACAACAGGAATCACACAACACACAACAACAGGAATCACACAACACACAACAACAGGAATCACACAACACACAACAACAGGAATCACACAACACACAACAACAGGAATCACACA